GGTTTAAGAATTATTTTTTTTAAACATATTATATTTAGCATATGTAGCTAACATCTGAAAGTCGTCTGATCTATTTTATACACTCGATGTATATGTATATAGTTCTTTAGGAAAATAATAATTTCATTTTTCTATTTAAAGAACGACCCAATTATCGCCAATCGTTAAGAAAAGAATCCAATTGTGAATATATACAAAGAAATTAATAAATATATCAAATGATAGTAGCTTAATTGGCACATAAGAACTAAGCAGCTGAGCGTGAGAGTATGTGTTTGAATCTCTCCAGTATCACCTTTGGGAGAGATTTAAAACCTTAATTCTGAACCCGCCAACGATGAACCGATGGAAATATTTAAAAATAAAAAAAATTAATAAATATGGATGTCATGTTTTCTTTGTGCAGCATTGACTAAGTAGGTTTCTCTGACTGTGGGTCAGGCCAAGGCGTGCATTAAATACTGTGAAGCATACATCATTGCAGAATGGCCTCACTTGCTTGCAGCAGTTCGTTTGACCAGCTCGCCCACTTCACAAAACCACACTCATTCACATATATTCAAAACGTGACCACACAACCAAACGTAAATAATGATATTTCAGTTGATAGAGTTGAATAAGTAGTGAAAAAATTTTAGTTTGATTCCTACTAATATTATCTTCAGATAGATAATCCATTCAAAACTCAAAATTAATCTCATAATTAATTTAAAGAATTAGAATTTATGAAAATATCGGGTGATACTAATGTCTTGATGAAATGATTATAGTTGATATGAAAAAAAAATGACAAATCGTGGAAAGTTGCACACACGCTTTTGTCCTTGGCTAATATTTTCATATCTCTTATTAATTTCTTTATCCAAAATGCCACGATAAAGTTAAATAATAAATACAACTGAAACTCTTAATGATGCTTTGAGTACTTGGTGACAAGGTGTAGATGTTTAAATGAAAAGGCGAAAAAGAAAAGAAAAATTTAATCATAAAAATCTAAAATGTATAACTTTGAAAGTTTAAAAATTAAAAGGAAAATTTTAATTCAAAATAAATCAATTATTCAAGCTAATCAATTAGTTTACTTTGGATTTTGATATTAATCTTTGATCAACCCCTTGAAATCCGTGGCTAATACCACACCACACTCATGACAGAAAAGAACGCAAGTCTAGAATTCAGAAGAATTGCCGTTAAAAGAGTATTACCATGGCATATGAGTGACCAATACAGCACTGGTAAGTCAGTGGTATCCAAATAAGTACTGTCTTTTGTCTTTTCCTTTTGTTTGAAACTTTGAGGCAGCTATTCCTGTTGTGAACACATTTGGAGAATATTTTTGGAACACGACCAAAATGTCACGCGAATATTGTTATTTTTCAATCTGCTACGGGGGCAAGTTCGTTACTTGGTGTAGCGAACTCGATTTGCTGACGTGTCACATTTCTAGTAGATAACAAATACCAAGTTAAAAAAAAAGGTGTGAAGTTCGCTACATAAACCAAGTTCGTTACCCCGTGTAGCGAACTTGGTATCCACTAGAAACGTGACACGTCAGCAAATCGAGTTCGTTACACCGGGTAGCGAACTTGCCCCCGTGGCAGATTGAGAAATAACACTGTTCGCGTGTCATTTAGATAAAAAAGTTGATGAACAGTGATATTTTGATCACTATTCCAATATTTTTGATATATTAGACGTATCAAATTCGGTATATATATATATATTAAATTTGAAAAAAAATTTATCACTTTTGAATTTTTTATTTTCTGCTATTTTACAAATTTTTTCAAATTTGAAAAAAAAAAAATTTGATATACCAAAAATATTCTCGAACACTTGCTACTTCCGTACACTACCATGTTCAAAATAAAGCATTGGGAGGGTTGCTACTTGCTAGCTAGCCGCACCGCTCTTAGCATAAACACAATTCAGTTTAGAGCGATGGTCATAAATTGGTATAGATTTGGTCTGTGCAGAAAGATTTTCTAAACATTGGAAATCAGCTTGGGTAATGGGTATGATATAAGAAGAATAGTACCACAACAATCAAAACAACACGTTTTTCTAAATAAATTATTCAAATACCATATTTTATAAAGGGGAATGCAGGAGAAATTCATCCCATCCCGTAAATACAAAAAAGTATCCTGTCATTTTTTTTAATCTTGTGAGTTCTACAATTTTTTTTGTTTTTACTGGAGAATTAAATAATTTATCTTGCAACAGAAAAAACTATTAACCCTTTTATTTTATTTTTTTTAATCAAAATATCACATTTTAGGGTCAGTTATCCCAATGGATAACGGATTTTGATTTTTTATTTCTGACTTGTGACATTTTGATATAATCCACTACCCATCACCCCAGCCCAGCAAATAAATTACCCACTTCTTATTTTATTTTATAAATTACTTCTTTTAAGTTCCCTAAAAAAATGTTACATTTTTATAGCTTTAAAATAAGGATTTCAATTTTCTCATGCAATAAAAGAGAATTTTCTCGTACTATAGACATTTTTTGTATGAAGTCTACATCTATTTATAAAACAAAAAAGACAAAAATAAAAATATTGCACGAAATCAAGAGTCACTAATAGAATATTTCGAAAAAAAAAGAGAGTCACTAATAGAAAAAAATAATTCTTTTATAACATGAGAAAATATTTTCCCTTAAAATAAACTAATTTCAATACATACATATTAAAAATAATGGATTCGTTTTTTTCAGAGTTTAAAAACTCAGCCCGACTATCGACTCGGCCAAGGTTAGGGATCACTTCACTGACCCTATTTTATATATTAAAAAAATATAAATATATATCTTATATGAAAAATTCAAAAAAATAAAATCACCAATCATCAAAGATTCAAAATATACTTAATATAATTCAACCAATTATATACACAAGTCAATATTACGCAAGCTAATCAAAGTATCAAAATATCAAACTTATAAAACACATATTTCAATGAAGTTAATGAAAAGTTATATCATCAAACTTAGGTCCTCCTTATCAATTTCCCAATTCGCTATTGTTGCGATACAATTAAAAATTCTTAGTTTGCATCATTTTTTATCTGCTATCTTCTTGATATAAGAGTAAGTACATCAGGGTTAGAGAAAGCTTTAAACCCTATTGCTCAATAATACAATAATACCAGACATGCTCAGACCAAAGAAACCAACCAAGAAAAAGAGTGGATTAGTGGAGAGAAGAACCACCACAACGGAGGAAAGGCGACGGGCGGCACAACAAAGAGGGAAGAACGAAGAGGCGGAGCCGTGGAGGAGAGGAGGAGAAACCACCGAGGTGAAAACGTCTAAGATTTAGGTTAGCAGCGATTTTTTTTCTTCTTCAGAAAACGACGTGGTTTCGTTTGAAACTTTTTTTTAGTATAAAAAAAATGCAGTGGCACCTCTAACCCCTTTGACCCGAGAGTCACCGAGACCTGGCCGGATTTCGGAGGTCAGAGGTAGGGGTGTTCGCGGTCTGGATTTGATCGGTTCTGAAAGTAAAAATCATCTGATCCAATACCTTCGGTTTAATCATGTAATCATCAATTCAGTTTGAATTTTGTTTCAAATCTGATCCGATCTAATCCAAATTTATTCGGTTTGGATTAGATCGATTTTTGATTTTTTGAAAAGCCTAAGATTTGTATGATGATTATTATGCAAATAACATATCTTTTGTATGTATCGACTTTGTAAAGTTTGTATGAAGATTATTCTGCAATCTAGAAGTTTTGTACAACAAAAAGTTAAATTATCATCTTTTACTTCCAACAAAAAATTTATAATATGGTTGCCTGAGATACGAAGTAACCAAATTTTCATCCTATAGAGGAGTTGTTGTACATCAATAACCTATGTAATAAAAATATGTTATGTATCTTATAAAAAAAAAATCATAACATAGATTAAGCACAATCCACTTTCTCCAACATGATGGGTTAATGAGTCTTGGATTTAGAATTTTGCTATATGATTGAAGAAATGTCCAAGTAGGTAGATGGTAATCATTGGATCGGTGTGGATTTGATCGGTTTTCACTAACCCATCCAAAAAACGATCCAATCTAATTAAAATTTGCAATTTTTTTTTTATTTTTGATTTTTTGGTTCGATCACCGTTGTCTGAATCAATTTGAATCAGTTGATGAACACCCCTAGTTAGAGGAGTTAACTTCCATGCAAGGTCTAGCTACTAATCCAAACCCTCAGAGAGAGAGAGAGAGAGAGTTAGGGTTGACTCGGGTCGACCCTGGGGTAGGGGCGGATTTTAAAACACTGATTTTTTCTGCAGTGGATGCAGATAAATTATTTGTGTTAAACCCAAAACGACATCATTTTTGGGCAAAAATCAAAGTGATTTTATGATTATAATTTATTTCAAGATTATGACAATCTTTATCATTATAATTTTTAAATTTTTTAAGACAAAATGACGTCGTTTTGAGAGTGAACGAAGATAACTAAATCTGCATTCACATTAGAAATATTAAAGCCAAAATTAATAGTATTTTTTATGGGTTATGTTTATCTCATTTTACATGAGACAAACAATTTTTCTACACACACAAAAATGTATTGGGTCCCACCATTCTTTTTTCTCTCTCCTCTTACCTGTAGGTCCCACTTATAATTTTATTTCTACAGCATGAGGTAACTTTTTTCCTACAACATAAGAAAAATATTTTCCATTTTTTATACTATAATAGATAAAATTATCTTCCACATAAAATATTATGTGATCCATACGAGACTATGTGAAGAAAAGAAAGAAAAATAAAAAAACATGAATCTGGTATTTTTTTTATATATGTATAAAATATAATTTATCTCCTGCAAACCCGTTAAAAAGAATCGGCAAATAGTGAAAAATTGAAAAGAAAGGAAAAGGATTAAAAAAAAAAAAAAAAAAAACTTCGACAGCTTCAGGACCAAGAACAATTTCATTAAAAATGACCCACAACTGCAAAAGTGGTTGATTTTGCTAATTTCATGGTTAATTGTGTAGACAATAGACAGTGACAAGATGATATCTCAAGCATGTAATTCATTTACATTGGAATTAGATGGGAAAACTTTGCCTAACATTCTCTTCAAAGAGCACCCAAACAAAGATGATGAAGTTTCTGAAATAGAAACACTCACCCCTCCGTTCCCATTCTCTCTAATCTCAGAACTTGAAATATCATCAATCACAATCTCAACCAAAGCTGAAGAAGCATCAACTGAACCCATTTGAGAATCATTCTCAACAATCCCACCCACAATCGGTGCTCTGCAAATTGGGCAATTTGAATGCGAACTCAACCACATGTCAATGCACTTCACATGAAAACCATGGCCACACTTTGGCAAACACCTTCCCATTTCACCATCCTCAAAAGCACTCAAACAAATCACACATTCAAGTTCTTGTTCAACCTCATCATCATCATCATCATCATCATCATCACCTTCCTCTACTTCTGAAGCTGCATAAATGAACAATGGAATCGCAGCAATGATAGCAGAATCAAGCCCTTTGGTGTGGGAACTCGAGATGGGTGAGTCTTCTATGTTGAAGCTATGAAAATGGTGAAACCGGGCAGGGCCAAGTACGTCGGAGACTGTCACGGTGGTTCTCCGGCGACGGCGCCGCCGGGCACGTGCCTGTGCCTGTGCCTGAGCCAAGAACCATTTGGCATAGAGATGGAGTAGCAGAACAAAGAGGATGACTAAGAGCAAGGAAATAATGGCTGCAAGCATGATGTTACTGTTTTCTGAGAATATGTTCTGAAACATTTGATTCAGTGTGTTCATGGTCTTGTTGGGTGAATAGGATTGTGTTGGCATTGTGAAGAATGGCCAAAAGGGTATACAGTTTTTGCAGAAAGGTTTGGACTTGAAAGGGTTTTAGGAAGGAGGGTGGTTCAGAATCTTGGGCATGTGGTTGCTGTTTTTGTGTAATGTGTAAGTTGTTACGTAAAAGTGAAGTTAAGTGCGTGATGGGGGTGAATAAATTAAGGGTGTGTTGCCTCTTGCAATTGATACATTTGCGTGTAATGGTTAGCAACAAAGTTTGGTATTCTAATGCATTGGTATTCTATTAGCGTAAAGGGTGTGAAGGGTGAAGCTGAAGTCAAAGAAGAATCCCTGTATCCAAGGAGGGAAATGGGGATTGGGGACTAATGCATGGGAATTGGGTCAAGAGAAAAAAGAAAGAGGCATAAATGAAGGACTCGTGAAGGCGACGGCAGCAAAAGAGGGTAGTTGAGTTTTATTAGATTCATGTGGAGCAGTGTGAGTGTTTCAATTATAATTTTTATTAGACTATAGTTTTTTTTTTTTTTTTTTTTTCCAGCTATCTACCAAATGTGCTGAATTTTGTTAGTATTAGACTATAGACTATAGTTTCTATTAGTTAATTTGGTGGAGTACTTTGTTCTATTATATTGAGTCACTTAAAATAGTTATTATTTAACATATAAGATTTCATCAATGACGTAATAGTCCGCATTTACATGTTAATTTCTCTAATTTGGTGAAGTTGAGGTGAGGATCCCAAGGCCTTATCATTCTAAGTCAAGATTCTCGAGATTTTTTTTGCAATAAATTGCTTAGGCTTTTCATGTATTTACATAAACTTTAGTCAATATTAGAAGGGGTGGTATTTTGTTTGTGGTAGAAGTGGGGTTGGCGATAGGGATAGGGACCCCAATTACTGTTTTAAAAAGAGAAATGGATGATCAGGGGTCCCATGTGAATGGAGCCAGACATGACTAGACCTTTTCCTTTAATTTTTCTTTCTTTCTTTTTTCCCAAAGTTGACCACCCTACATACAGAGCTAAATGCCAATAGAAACAGTAGATCTTTGCTTAGATTCCACCATTTTTTGCTGCATGCTTTCTGGCTATGGATTAATCCCTTTCTAGAGAGGACATGGGATGCTGCATGCTGCATGGGATAGGCTCGTGAACACTGACGCAACCCAAACTGCTACCAAGTAATAATTACATCATGTAAAGAGGTACGTACGGTAAACAAGCCTCTTCCATTGCAGTTGAAAATTAATGATCTTTTTTATTTACTTAAAATTTGCAATTACTTGATCACTCTAGCAGTCTAGCTAGTTAGTTAATTAAGTTAAAGTACTGCAGACATTATTTAACTTGAAATTTTATTGAAAATCCCATAAACCATTTTGAAACATAATATAAACTTAAATGGGTGTTTAAACTTTTGTATTCAAAATGTGACTGTGGATTTGCATAGAAGTGTGAATGGTATTTATTGTGCAAATGGAGAGGACCATATTCTAGCAGCGTAGGCTTCCACGACCAGGTTTGCTCTGAACCCACATTGTCAAGGTGGGAAAAAAAATTAAATATTATTATTTAAATAAAAATTATGAAAATGTAACATTTTGAATACTGATCTATAACAACCGGTCACGTTCAAATTTAGGCATGACTGATTGAGCTCAAATAAGGAGAATTTTTTATTTTGGATAAATCACAAGTATTCTTTATGAGAGGTAAATAATAAGGAGAATTTCTTCAATGCATCGGTAGCATTAAATTTTCAGTACATCTTTTACTTACAATATAAGATGTGTCTTACTTTTATTAAATCATTAATAAATAATTTATTTTAGTATCAGGTGAGAGAGTGATTTTAGAAAAAAAATAAGACATGTGTCACATTGTTAGTGGAATATGCATCGAAAATTCAGTGCATCATTAACACTGAAGAAATTCTCACGCGCACTAGGATGCTTAGTTGTGCCTGATCTAGGTGCGACTCGCCCGATGATAACAGGTGACAAAATAATTTTAACAGTTTCACCGTAAAATTTTGGAAGACCATAACTTTTGACTTGGGTATCCGAATCAAGTAGTTTTTTTTATTTCACATAATTTTTCGAGATCTACGCAATGACTCTTCATTTGACATATTTTATCTCTCACAAACATAGTTCAAATTTGCAACAATGGTACGACAAGAGCATTTGAACTCAGAAGTCTCCGAATTCTTTCCGAACTAACAACATAGGCTATAGCACCTGCCATCGATTTCTTGGCCTAGTTTTCCCATCGTTAGCCTCTGAACCAATGATTTTTTCAACAAGATCAGTTTATAGGGCTTTCCGTAAAAAGAAAAGATGTTATCTTTTGTTGCTTATGTGTGTTGATGGAGAGGAAACCACTGTCATGATTAAAAATATTCCTAGCAAACATTCCTAATCCACAAATCCTACATATAATGCAGAGATTCTGATAGTGTACAAAATTTTAGAATGCAAATATCTACTTTCTAACAAGTTGAATAAGTTTTACATAATGAGTCACGATTATTTGTTATTGTTGGATAGTTGAAATATATCCAAATCATGTGAATATATAAAATTTTTGGGATGCAGATACCTATTTTCTAACATAATTCACATAGATAAAATGTGTTTATCAATAGCATGTGCTGCAACTTATGATGTTAGTTTGGAAAGAATTCTGGGTCTTGTGAGTTTAAATACTCTTATGATTGTAATACAATTGTTGTAGATTCAAACTATATTTATGGAAGACAAAACTTCAACTTAAATAAACATCATTCATACTCACAAATATAAAATATGTCAAACGAGACACAAAGAAACATTTATTGGAATATGCTAGTGCCTAAATTGGGTGGAACCAAGCACTTTAATGCGCCTTATTTGGGCGCGACCAACCACATATTTTGGGTGCAACTAATTGCTATAAATCCTGATTTCAAAATGATGTTTAGTAATTTCTTCAAAATGCTGTTTTTGTAATTTCTTATTTAAATAGTAATATTTAATTTTTTTTTCCTGTCAAGGTGGCAATGGTCCTAACCTGTTTCTTTTCTTCTTCTGTAAATAGGAAAAATGTTATTTTTTAAAAGCTTTCTGATCATAAATTATTTTAATCATAAAATAATTTGATCTAAACAGACTGTTCTTAAAAAGATACACTTGTTATTAATTTAACCTCAGTAACAAATAGGAAAAAAAGAAGACCTACTACATAAAACTTATCACATTATTATTCTTTTTTTCAATTCCAATCAAGAGCATAAACTTATGATATTATGGAATTTGTATTAATGAAATAGACGTCATTTACACGTGAAATGAAATAATATTGAATTTCAAGGGCATGACTTCCCTTTATTATGGTAATTTATAACAATGTAGTCCACTTGTGGGAAAATAATTACATTTTGCTAATAAATTAAAATAGGAAAATTGATAATTGGTTAATGAGCCACAATACTAGCAAGAGAACTTTTCATCAATTCATTTCAGTCCATTAGTTTGTATCTTTTCTCTTGGACACCTGTAACTCCCATTTGTATCTCAATTATCGTATGAAGAGGCACCTGGAAATGACAAATCTCACATTAGATATATTCTTCATATTCATCACTCACCAAAAGTGATGACCACTCCAAACAACAAGATGGCTGGCGAACCCCAGTGCACATGGCTTCCGACTATCAAGCACCGACTCCGACACGACATTTTCGATACGTTCCCGATACGTTCTCGATACGACCATTAATTCGTCGATACGATACAATACGTTTCCGATACGCGTATCGGATACGTTGGAAAAAAAATTCGGAGTATCGGTGCTTCATAAGCTCCCGACTTGCAAAGTAGGGGTGAGAATTGATTGTACGCAACTTTATCTTTGCATTTTTGCAAAGAGGCTATTTCCAGACTCAAACCCGTGATTTTTTAGTCACAAGGAGCAATCGTACTGCTGCTCCAAGGCTCGCCCTCTCAAATGACAAGATGAACCTCACAAAAATTTGTTAACAGCAAAACATTTAAGTATGGCAAAGAAAGGAATTTCATTTCATTGATATAACCAAAAACAACAATAACTCAGTTTGTTCTTTAAATATTTACCACCAACTCAATCAGGCCAAAGCATCAAACCCCATGTTTCATGCACGCCCATTTATCTAGTAAGAACAAATATGATAAAATGCAACGAGTTCAGCTAAATATGAACCCACAAAATTACCTCTATATGTGGAATTTCTTTCAAAGGCCTGTCAGCAAAATAAGCATACAATGCCCTCAAAACTGCCTGCAATGAGAAAAGTATGGAAGAACCTCAAGGGTTAGAACCAGCAAACCATTGAGGCTTTATAAGCACAAATTTAGCTTAATGTGTTGCGTACAACCTGGTGAGATATCACAACAACAGGTGCACGTTGCCGCTCAAGCTCAATAATTACCGGTTCTAACCTGTATTATTAAAAAACAAGTTATTTATATCAAACAAGTTGAAGTCAGGAGATAAATAATGCTTATATGATAAAATGTATTAACCTTTGAATAACATCTAAATAAGACTCTCCGCGAGGATAACGATACCTAAGCTTGTCCTTGTTGCGGGATCTGCAATAAAAAGAGAAGGCAAAAACATAACTAAGGCATTTAAACAGCATCCCATGACCCTAAAAAAGAAGTTCCACATTGTGCTTCTTTTTTTTCCAATATATCAGTTGCAATCAAGAAGGGGAACTTAACACAACAATTAGTATTGTTGCCATGTGACTTGAAAGTCGCAGGTTCGATTACCCGGTGCATTGCGGGAGCTTTATAGCACTAAACTGCTCTTTTTTATACTAGTTGCATTTAACTTGCAAGTGAGATAGAGAAATTACAAGTCGGCGACATACTCGTACTCCTCTGGCATGTTTTTCTTGATTTCTTCGTATGTCATACCATCACAAACCCCAGCATTTATCTCATCAAGGGCACGCCATTGTATCTAACATACATATAGATATCAAGTGAAGGGACACCATGATTTGTATATTTGTGAGCGCATTTCTCCTCACATAAATAACATGACTGCATGCAACCATAAGCTTAAGGATTACACTAACCTTGGGAAATCCAACAATTGGACTTGCTGTCAGAATTGTTCGTTGCAGTGTACTAGTCCATATCTAGACCACCAGTTACAAATATCACAAATCATTCATCACTTCAATATTTGCTTATATTTATACATGCACTCAGCTGATATGAGAACTGATTCAGCATTAAATTGTTATAACTTCAACAAAAGCCTACATGTAAAGAGAACACTGTTGTAGTCACAGATACAAAAATTCATGAAAAGTCTGTAGAGAACATTACTTTATAATTAATTCATGTTTCATTCTTGCCCAAGGGGTTTAACTTGCTTGGTAGGGAACCTGCTCTTTCATGATGCTACCTGAGGTTCAAACTTGGATAGGATCAAATATCCCCTGTAGACCCCCCCCCTTCCCTTTCCATTCTTATTGAATTTAAACAACATCTCAATAATCATCAGCACATACAAGACCCGCCTTAGAATTTAATAATTGACACTTATTTAAATAAATGAAACTTGTCTATTACTTCAAGGAAGGAATTTAATCTAGGATTTGTCTTCTTTTTAAATCATCCCAGAATTTACTCCCATACAGCTAACTTGTCTGGACTGATGTCCAAAACAGCTCTTCACTTTCAAATGCATGGCAACTATCCTTGTATTTGTATTCCCTTTGTTAAAAAGGTATTATGTCTAGGTTCAGTGTATCATGTAAATATAGGAATCAGGAAAATTTTATCTTTGTATTTAGTATATTCATTGTATAAATATTGAGTCCATGGTATAGTTGAGACGCATGGTTTTTAGCATAGGCTTATCTTTTCTCTCCATCTCAACAACCTTTCATACAGGAGGTCTTAATAAGAACTTCCCACATTAACAGTACAACTATTAACTTCAACTTTAACTTCAATGGCTACACAGTTTACAATCCCTCATCCCCACGGACCCCACCCTCCTTCCAAAAACAAATATTGACTCCAACAACAACAACAAAAGCCTTTTCCCACTAGGTGGATCGGCTACATGTATCAAACGGTCCCATTGTATTCAGTCAAAACCAGGTCTTCAGAGAGGCCATTTAGATCCAAGTCATTTATAATGGTTTCTCCTATAACTAAACCAGTAAAAGTTACTGAAAGAACAATCTCAATCACTGATAAATTGATTCCATTTCTCACAGTTGTTTAGCAGATTCACTATGACTAAGTGATACACAATCGTTATTAATTATTGTTGACAGAGTTCAATACAAATTGTTACATGCAGCTTTAGCAGACAAAGGCCAATCCACAAGCATAGAAGGATAATGGCTTTCAAGCATCAGCTTCTTATAAGCATTGATTTACAAGGACAAAGGAAGAGATTGAAAATGCTTACAGAAGCAGCCCGTTCTGATTTGAGACGCTTTCCAACAAAGTTGGCAAGCTTCTTTGCATAAACTTCTCCCGCCTCGCTGTTATAACAAGTTGCATAGTGCTCTAGGTAGTCAGCTAAATATTGAAAGCTATTCTCAAAATACCAGATATCACATTATAGAAAGAAAGTAAAGAAGTAACACCTCAAATACAGAGGAACTAGAACTATTCACCATTTCACCCGTGCAAGAAAGCCGATAAATTGAAGTTTTCAATTATCTAACAACCCTTTGTCTTCCTCCAGAAACCAATTGTTCCATAACAATAGAGATGAATACAAGCCTTTTTTCTAAATTGAAGGGAGGAGGAAAAAGAAGACAGGGAAGCTAAAAGGTACTCTCAATAAAAAGATCACACTTTCCATAGTAATTATTTGTTAATTAATCAAAACAGTGACAAATTTTTCATCTACATTCATATCTCTGCCTTTTCTACATCCTATATCCTCCTCAATTTTAACCTTGCACTGAATAGCAACTGAAGAGAAAAATAAGAATATACCTTAGTGCTGTATCTCCTCCAATTCTGCCTCTCACATTATCCTGGCTTTCTCCGTGCCGAGTAAGTAATATTGGGCGTGGAGTAAGATGTGTATTTACCTGAAGCATATAAAAATTGAGGTTCATGGAAATGTATGAACATGACATAGATAAAAATATAAGATTATTCATATGAAACTTATAGGTGATATAAAGTCTACGCATATCTTCATAGATATTAGTTTTATAGAGTAAATTATATTTCCAGCAATCACAAATCTTCTATAAAAACCATTTTCATTTTTAGATAAGCATGTCCATAGCTTGAGTAGCTCAAGTCAAATTTAGGCTAAGCAGAACAAATAACAGTGCAATATGCCCGGTAACCAGAGATGTTGAGATGTTATGAGTGAATCTCACAACCTAGTTAATTAGTTTAGTTCCAGTATCCATGGGTTGTGTAATTCCTGTTCCACTGTATTAGCTTTAACATAAGTTGACTCATAGACATAAGCAGAAATAGCATTAACTCCTTACTGTTGCTGGCAAATCTCCCTAACATGGACACATAATGGTTTAACCCAGAAATTTTTTACCCTTAATCCAGTAAAAAAACCCTACCTTAACCCTATGCTATTTAATATTTCACTATCCTGCATAATGCTATCAGCATTATTCCTAAAACACAAATGCAAGAATCCTGATGTATTTATAATTAGTAGCTAGCTATCTTGGCCATTGTCTACAAGCACCTCTTTGTTCTTTCAGATTGAGTAGAGTAGTAAATCAGGATTTGAGTCAGAAGTTTCCATCTGAGGAATTTATAAGGTAAGTTTTATAAAAAAATTCTTGCTTTTTATTTGACCTATTACGCCGAACCCTAGCTACATAGATTTGTAAAACTTGCAGTTTCCTAAGAGTTTCCGGCGACATGTCTTTCCCGAAGTCTGATTACAAAACCTCAATCATGCATTTCATAGCACAATGGCAACCCAATTCTTTATATGATGCAATATCTGAGTTAGTTGTAAGGACCTTCTGCATCTTTAGAGGATAAAGGATCCGAGTGATAGCTCATTTCCATTAATTATGTATACATTGGGTTACATAGTATATTAATTAACTTAAATAAATTATTTTGTCTCTCTGTGTGTGTGTGTGTGTGTCAATCTCTGACTGTAATTTAAGTATTTAACCACATTCTTCAAAAAAGCTTACCAAGAAAAAGACAATTCGTCCAGGAAGGTAGCCACTGATATTGTTCACCTAAACCAAGAGACAGAAGTTGTGAATAATTAACAAATCAAACTCACTTGAAACTAAATGGGTAGAGCAAAACTATAGGACACGAGCACACATAGGTACTCTACATTTAATCTTAAGCTAATGTTCACAAAAACAAAAAGTTCCACAGTCGGTGATTAACCATGTCAATGATCATAAGTCTGCCATCCATCAACATAATTTAAAGCACTGACTAATGACTCTTCCTAGCTTGTCTGTCATCTACTGTGTTAGTTCTGATACTGGAAAGTGATATGTCGTTCACCATAACACTTGCATCTGGTAACAATATTGCTTTCTAATACTAATTCTTCCCAGAACAAACACATCTTGAATTTTGTGCTTTCAGGCAACCACGGAATAAATAATTAAGACAGGCATAAAGGAAAATCAGGGGTACTATAGTTATTCAAAGTTAGATGCAAACCTAAACCATTTCAATTTCCAAGATACCATAATTAAGATCCAGTTTGTTTCTGCAACCAACAACAATTTACATCTAGTTTCTATTAGGGTCTCGTAAAAATTCTACTAGCCTGACCAAGCCATAGTTATGAAAACTGGTGCTAGAACCAATTATGACCAATCACATGAGAAATACCATGGGGGAGATGAAAATAGCATGTTCAATATGCTAAACTGCTTAAATTTTAACATTTTTTCACCACCTACAATTATCAAGTATCAATACATCTTATGCTATTCACATCAAGAATTTCTTGTTTGGTATGACTTCATTCGATTACCTTTCAACGATCAAACTACATCTACCATATGGACAACAAACATTAATAAGCAATCTCCAATAGAGGCCATCCAGGTCATGAACTATGCAAAAGGATAATGTTCAACACATAGTAGCAGCAACACAAACAATGAAATAAAGGTTGAACTTACTTGTATTTGTCCACCATGTCCACTGACCATATCAATCATTTTTATGTAAGAACCTTCTTCTACTGTCTCATAAACCTAGTAATATGAAATCAAACATATTGAAGGAAAAAGCTCATTTAGAACAATCATTAAAACGGCACTGTAAGGACTTGCCTTCTCATAATTGGCTAGACGATTTTTAAAGTCTTGCAATCCAGCCTCATAGTCTGGCCTGCAAAAGAAAGTTAATTGCATATGTATCCACATAGCCATCAAGATATGATGTCACTGGTTTTAAATGAAACATTACTCTTCTGCATAATCAGGACTTTGTTGAATTTTAAGACGAATATTCCTTTCAATTATGTTCACATCGTTGCATATTGTTTCCAGAAAGATAATCTGCAATGAAAACACAGAGTAGATCAGAAGAGTTCAAAATAAAAAATGTCATTCTCATATCATGCACTCGACAATGTCCATCAGTAGTCTACCTTGCATCTTCCTACAGCCATTTTCATAAGCATGTTTCTTCGTTTCTTGTTACTGTTTGTGGCATCAAATATCCCAACCTAAATTGAAATTAAAACTTACGAAAAGCAACATGAAAGAATGTAAAAAAGCAACAAAAATATCGAACAAGAATGAACCTACCTGGCCACCTTCTTGCATCCAAGATATCATATCTTCAAATGCCAACGCTGCTACCTAGTGGCACGTGATATATTAAAACTATGTACACAAAGAAAGGTCAACATGGTGTCAACATTACCAGAATGATCCATTATAAACCAAATATTAGAAGTAGCATTATATTAAATTGTAATATAGTCTTAACAGGTTGCCGTCTGCCAATATGAATATTCTTTTTATTTTTTTATTATACATTTGCTGGATGTTGTCACTCTACACTAACAGACTTGTTCAAAATAACGAAGTGGCAAAGTAGCATTGTATTGAAGACTAACATTGTCTTAACAAGGCAATATATGCCAATATGAAATTCTGTTTGGATTAGTTTTCCTTCTTTCATGGGGTCAGGATGGTGTTGCCATTCTATCATTGATATTATCCAATTTGTTTTGCATTAAAACATCAACCCTTGTACATCACTGTCTCTCACTATGTGCTTTTCCATCCTTTTTGAGTTATCGCACCATGCTGCATTTAGCAATTGCTTGGAATCTTCAAACTCATACATTATGATTAGTTTTATTCAAGAAACAATGCTGTGAATGATTCAGAACTAAAACAGTTACTAAGGTTTTCTTGAAAGACTGAATGATAAAATAATTCTTGTTGAATGCAAAGGTTTTAAGAAATAATAGAGTCCAATGGAATAAGATTCAACAAATTAAAGACGCAACACCATCCCAATTCTAAATAAGAATAAACAATTATAACCTAAGTGTCAAGGCTCGCACTTAATCTACTAAAATTAAATAAAAAAAATAAAAAAGGACCAAAACTACCTCATTGCGCGCCTCTACGCCATCAGGATTGTCAGCTCGAAAGAAATCAGCAGACTGCAAAGAAGAATGACACGAACTACGGTTACTGAAGAAAACATGACAGGCTAGTGCAACATCATGATTTCAAGAATAAAACTAACATTTTTGAAGGGAATCAAGTGTCCATGATCACATTATGATCTCATAATGTTACAATATTGAGACTTTTACGACCCTCCAAAGTACAAGATATTATATTAAATCATTGATGATGTTGAAGTTATAAAATCCATACACAGAGACTTGCCCAATTATGTTAGAACCCACTCCAAGAACAATAAAATTACAGAAGACAGTTAATGGGATCAAAGAAATACAAACGTGTATTACTGAAATATTTCTCAACAGTACATTGAATTAATACAACTAACAAATGGGAAAAATCAACAACTAATACAACTGAAATATTGAAATGCAATTGCAACTGCTATGGCAGAAAGTTACAGTGAAATAGAGGAAGAAACTATAATGAAGAGCAATTAGAGAGGCTCTCCACTCTCCCAAGTCCCATGACCCACACAAGATTCCAGATGATTCTCACGCTCCTTGTCCTCCACTACTTATTCAGCTTTTCCCTCCATTTCTTGCTAAACATTTTCTGTTTTAGTCACACCTACCAACCCATTTGCTGACTCAACTCAATGGCTTTCCCTAAAGTGCACTTAAGGGTAGTATCATATATATTAGAGCTTCTTTGACTATTTAGAGTTCAATACTTCCACCTTCCATCTTATTTATATATTTCAATGCGTAACAGTTTAAGTTCAGCACAAGGAAACTGTAGGACTACACTTGATCCACATTTCTAGCCCAGACGAATTTCAATTGAAGGGGTGATTTGGATTTGACAAAAGCTTTTTTTTTTGTCCCAAAGCTTAATAACTTAATCTTTTTAGGTTAAGTGACTCATTGAGAAGTGAGACCTCATGAATACTATTTTAGTCAGGATGAATAAATTGAACTGCTTACTTACTATTTCAAGCCAATGCCTATTTTCTGCCAAGGAAAGATCAGACAGATGCTCAAAAAAATTCATGTAGATTGCAAAAATTAGTGAACGCCTTACACCTGAACAGAATCTAAACCCTAGGCTTTGGCATCATGGTCATAATTTCAACCATTGCTCTAATGCATAAAAGAGCCAAGAAAACCAGCACATCCAAAATCGACATAACCACTATAGAGCATCAACAACTGTGGGTCTTCTCTACACTCTGAATTTCCTGGCATTTCAAACCAGTATTTCTTTCATACCAACTTTGTTAAAAGAGTAATGCTTTAAACACACCCATTTTAGACACAAAACGCCACACCCCTGCACAATTTTCCATTGGATGATGTATTGTGAGTTGAGACAAACCAAAGTCCTATGTAGGGTTATCTAACAACCGAAAAGGGGTGTTTATGTCTGTTGCATTACTCTTGTTAAAAAGAGAGTCACTAACCACCAAGTTTTAGCAAATCATTTACCTAAGTACCTTATTTTTGCTTTTTAAACTTCAAGCCTACTGTGTCATCATATTCCTACGAGAGATGATACCTAAATGTTACTCATTGAACTTTAGAATTTAGAAAAGTAAATTAAAAGGGAAATCTGGTGCTATAAAGCTACCATTATGCACAGGGTCTAGGGAAGGGAAAGACCCATTGTGTGAGTCTATAATAGGCGGCCTTGCCTAGGATTTGCAAGAGGCTGATTACATGAATCGAACCTGATGGCGACAACGCCAACTATTGTGAAATGTAAATAATAAATGAGTAAAAGAGTTAGACAAAGAATTCTCTGAACACTGCTTTGGAATTATTTTCACTTGACACATCTTCCACACAAATATGAACCACATCAATTCTTATAAAAATCAGTATATAGTACAACCTTCAATAAGGGACATAACTAATAGAAAAATTAAAAAATGCACTACAAATATAGTACAGACAGAAATTTTCTGCAATCGTGAGAACTGTTATGTTATTAAAACAGTGAATATAATGTAGTTATGCACACAATTATTAAATTATAAGGCATAAGCTATTGCACAGATTCATATAATAAAGTTTACCTGATTAGCTCCATGCTTGAGGCGACGATACTGTGACATCCAAAAGTAAGTGTTAATCTTCATACTTGTCATATTTCCAGTTTTCCACTAGGTACAGGTATATCAGTTATAAAGAAGAATGATGTTAATTCAAACAACCTTCCCAACGTTGAAGTGTTTGGTTTCATGACCTAACCAACGAAGATATCTTGTAAGTTTAGCTGCAGTAAAAGTTTTACCTCGAGCTGGCAGACCCACCTACATAAAAGAAAATAGTTAGATAACAGAATAAATTATTTTCATAATTTTAATGAACTAAATAGATGAACTACAAATTGAAATATGACATTTTTGCCAGGTATTTCCAAATTCCAGCTTTCAAAGTATATGCTCGAATTTTGATTTGAAAGCTGGAATTTGGAATATCACTCACTTAATTTACAACTAGAAAACCAACTTGAAGCAAAAAAAAAAAAAAGGAAAAAAGAAAAAAGAAAAGAAAAGAAAAGAAAAATAACAAAGAATTACTAAAACTGTGAAAATTAATGAGTAATTACTCATCATGCTAAGCTAAAATATTACCAGGATAATCGCCAAATGTCTATCCTCCTTGGGACCCAGCATTTGATCAGCAACAGCTGCAGCTGCAACAGCTCCAGCAGCAGCTGGCATTGAATTCTATCAATAAAAAAGCAAGAGTGCAGAAGCAATTAATTGTGAACAGCCTCAATTGACAAATAAGTTAGTTCAATGCAATAAATTTGAATATAAACACGAAATGTAAATAATTTATACAAACCTTGGTATCATTATCCAAATTAAGACCACTGAAAATATTTGAAGTAGAAGATTTTACAAGTCTAGGAGATCCAACACCTCTATCAACAAAATGTCCCCTCTGACTCTCTTGCCTTTGCAGAGGAGAAAACGTTCCCACTGACTTGGATTCAACCGTTCCAGAACTTTGAAACACCTTAGATGGATCTGGCACAATAACCTCCATCTCCTGGTTGGAACATCAACATAACCTATTAAATGTACTATATTATAGATTCCAGTATCAAGAGTCAACATAACCCATTAACTTATGTGTTCCTCTTAGCCTCAAGAAGTGGCATTTTAAACATCCTATATGCTCTTATTTCTTATAAAGATATAGAAACTTATCAAAAAGAGAGAGAGAGAGATTCAATTAGCATATAATAGAATCAAGCATCTGCCTCATAAGTAAGGACAAACAGAAGACATGTCATTGTCAATCTTGAATAAGTTAAAAGTCTTACGTAAGTCCAGTTAAAGATCCATTACATACAAAATAAAGGTTCATGAAAGAGCTCCAAATTAGCATATTATAGTATCAAGCATCTGCCTGCTAGTAAAAATTCGGAAGCACAGAAAATGTATCCAATCTTGAACCAATTAAAGTCTTATCTAAATACAATAACAGATTCATTACAGAAAAAAAAAAAAAAAAAGGAACTTCAAATTGAAAATAAGCACAGAAAAATTATCAGTCAATTATCCTCACAACAATAAACTGTAAAGAACTAGTAGTCCATATAGAAAGTATAATCCTAATTTAAAATGTGAATTTGGAAGTTAAACCTTGATGGAAAATGAACTGCTGCCAGGCCCACTAATTAGTGACCTTGGATTCTCTGTCATGTTAGCTGCATATGCAAAGGCTGAATTTGCAGAGGGAGCTGGGACAACATAATGCTCAAGATCAAGTTCCAAACCCGCAGAAGAGCAATTCTGAACAAAAAAATAAAGCTAAAATCACTTGAAACTTGACAATACCCATTTCACATAACATCTCTCTAAGATTAGAAAAATAATAGAAACAAAGTAACAATACAGCTCCATAGAGTGAAGACAGCAAGACTGGTTGCCATTAAAGCAAACTTCTGATTAGATTTCCTACAGAACAACTAATGGAGAAATCAACCAGACTATCAAAATGATCAATGTTATTGCACTAACAGTTGAAAATTTTTGACTAGAAAAAGTTGTGGTTTTAAGTGCAAGACATCCTGCATGTACACACTATCTGAAGACTTGCAACCAGAGTAACACTTCATTCAACAGATAACAAGAAAACAGAAAACTACAAAGCAAAATGAAAGTGGCCAATAGGAAGGATTTTATTTTAATCCCATTGCACAATATGATTTTTGAAGCATAAAAGTACCTTCTTCACAGGAGCAAAATTTTAAATGTCATTCACCATATCTTACTAGGGGTAAAAAAACAGAAAGGAAACTGGTAGTTTGGTCTTACATCACTGCCCGTCTGAGGTGCTGAATTTATGCTGACATCAGGCATCCAACGTACAGTCGAAGGACGGAAATTCTCCTTATAAGCCCTCCAACTAGCTGCAAGATCAAATGGAGAAACCCTGTCTGCTTTAACAAACACTTGATACTCAAGAACCTCGCCGCTATCAAGCTTAAACAATGCAAGCCTTGCATCCTCCTGCAAAGCTCCTCCAATGAGTAGGCGGTTTGCACCCTCCTCAACGAAACAAGGTGTATTGCTGTACTTAGGCTTCAACAAGAATTTGAAATCCAAAGTTTCTGAAAATCCCAAGCAGAATCAAGACATCAGGTTCAAAATAAAAACACCCCTTCAATGATGATACAATCATTTAGGAGACAATTTCTACAACTAAACTTCATTCAATTCACAAACATGCCAAGACACCTTAATACCATATACTCTATGCTCATAGTGAATGCAACAAAGCTATTGCTCAGAGTAACCTCTGAACCTTAAGACATTGTCCACTGTTTTATTGAGCATACTTTTGTTAAGTCAATTGAGAGAGTTAAAAAGCAAAAGATAAATTATTAAAACCACAACTTTTGAATGGAAAAATGGTGAAACACATTAAACACACTTAAAAAGTCAAAGCTAGTGAAGAAAAGCCATTACCATGATTAGGTGGAACAACAAAACTCAGCTCCCACATTGACACCGATTCCCGTTCCATTGAAAGCTAATTCCAACAACCAAAAATTAATTAAAAAAAAAAATCAAAAACAGTGAAAAACAAGATCGACCCAGAAACAGTTGAAGCAAATGGAGAAATGGGCATGGATCAAAATTACAGCTTTGGAAGGATCCCAAGACCCCACGAGAGGAACAGAGCCATAGACATGAGGAACGAGTTCACCAGTGAGCTTGCGATTCTCCATCTTCAGAGACACATAGAGCTGTCCACCTGCTTGCTCCAATCTATCACGCTCCTCCTTGCTCTCTTCTGAGCCACCGTTCTCTTCCTTCGACGCACCCGTCCCCATCTCTCTCTCTCTCTCTCTCTCTCTGAGTGTGTGTGTTGTGTTTCAGAGTTGAGAGTTTTCTTCAAACAAGTAGTGAATTGTTGTTGTTGTGTGTACGTGGATGTGGATAATGGATAGGACTAAGGAGGATGTGGGTGTTTTCTGGTGCGCATGTGTTTGGGTTTATCGATAAAGAGAAAACGGTAATTGAGAAAGAGAATTGAGAACCAAGAATGAGAGGGTCAAGGAACAATGGTGGGGTACCATAAAAGGGGTGAGGTGGAGTCACTGAGCGAGTGTTCCTCCTTGCTCCTTTAATAGCTATTCCTGTGCTGTGGTGTGGTGTGGTGTGTTTGTTCTCTTTTGGTTCCCTTGCTTTACTTAGCTTACCAGTTACCACATTACTATGTGCATCTTTTCCTCTATGCACACACGTGTTGTGAATCTGAGTAACTTGTTTGTGCTTTAAATAGGAATATAATTTCAGATATTAATACCTCATTACATTGTGTGATGCAAACATTTATTTCAGAGATTCAGATATTAATGAATTTCCATGAAAAGAATTACTCTTGAGATAATTAATTTTTGATTATATGGTTTATTACTTGAGTGATTTCAAACTCATCACTTAATTCTAATGTGATTATAAAAATATATGATTTAACCCAAGTGATTTCAAAATATCATGTATACCCATTGTAGTTGTAAAAGACATCACTTAGATTCCCTAGTCTTGTGTATATACACACACGAAATTTTGTATCATATTATGAATTGAGATTATAATGAAATTTATGATTAAAATAAAAAGTTTTCTGATGTAAATATTTATTATTATGATTTAAATATGAATATGTTTCATGTAATTTTTTTTATCTCTAAATGATATATGAATATTTAATTATAGATTTCATATTAATATGTTTTTATATAGAGTTTTTATTTACGCCTGATGGAAATATTTAATCTTGTAATTTAGAATTAATTCACTTTAATGTAAACATTTTATTGCATGTGATGTGAGTATTTATCCTTGCAATTTAGGTTATAATTTGATTAAACCTTTTATTCTTTTTGGAGTTATCCAACCCTAATTACCTCTTTAAGGCGAGTTGGCTCCCTCCGGTATCCCCACAAGCTTCGACTCTTTGAGTCGGCTATGGGACTAATCCGGAGTGCGGGGGTCAGTGATGGCTAAAGGTTCAGCCCCTTCCCATTAACCCTTTTATTCTTTTGCAATGCAAATATTTACCTTTATTATTTAAATATTAATTGCTTTGATGTAAATTTTTGTATGATTAAAGTCTATTTTGAGTCCCTAACAAAAAAATATAATTTTTCACTTTAGTTCTTTATAAAATAAAATAGTCCCGAAGTTTCTAAGAAATTCAAAGTGGATCTATTTAGTTAAAATAGTGATTGTTCGTAAATTTAAAAAAGACCCACATTAGTCCCTCAAAAGGACTAAAATACATCTACTTTGAATTTCATAGGGATCAAACGATTAATTTTTTTTAAGGGACTAAAGTGAGGATCGTGTTTTTTGTTAGGGACTCAAAAAAGATTTTACTCTTTTTGTAATTGATGTATCTATTTACTAATTATTTAGATATTAAAAATAATTTTATATCAAAATTTGTATTTACGTTTCAGGATAAACAATATTTTTGAAGAACAACATGCCTTTACTAATAGGGTGCAAATTTTCACAAGTTTTATTAGGTGCAACAGATTCTCACTTGTTTTTTTTAAAAAAAAAAAAAAAAAACTAGAAACTGGACCCGTATCCTAGTATTGCTGCAGAAGATTTTTTCAGAGTGACAAAAGAGCTATAAAACCCAATGTTATAAAAATCGGACCGACCCGGTCAGGTCAACCCAGAAACCGATGAACCGGTCATGTAACCGGTCCAGTTTTCATATTGGACCGGCCATGTTGCATAACCGGTGTGACCCGGTGCGACTCGGCCGATTTTTGTAAAAATCGGTGACTCGGTCGGTTCAACCAGTGACCCGGTCCGGTTTGCAAATAAAATAAAAAAAACTAATTTATTTTTATCAATCGATTTCTTCCTTTTTTTTACTCTCAAACATAAATGATTTGTTTTCTTTTGAAATATTTGAGCGATTTGTAGCTTATTAATTTACATAGATTATGTACTTACAACACTAATATTATCTTGGTTATGCAATATGTAAGGAATTTTGATTTGATTTATAGTTAGAAATGTCATTTACTGAACCTGAAACATTAGTATAACAACTATAATATGTTTGATTACTTTTTTGTTGGACAATGATATGTAATTTATTATTTTTCGGGAGATGTTATAGTTACTATCTCTTTTTTTTTTTTTTGGAAACAAACTACAGGAAAAAATTATTACCTCTTTTTCTTACTACATCTTACTACCAAATCTTAACTATTGATTTTCGTTAATCTAACGGTTATAATTTATTAAGTCATACTTATTAATTAATTATTACTTTCCAATAAATTATAACCGTTGGATTGACAAAAATCAATGATTAAGATTTAGTAGTAAGAGGTAGTATGAAAAAGAGATAACAAGTATAACCTTTCCCTTATTTTTCATATTAAAATATTTAAAATTAGTGTATTTTTTTACAGGTATTTAAGTATATTTATAATTTTTTTAATATAAATTATAAATTTACATATGTTTACCGGGTCATGTGATTGAACCAGTGACCCACTGGTTAAACCAGTGACCCAGTACCTCGACCGGTTTAATAAGTTTAATAAGATTGCTAATAATATTAAAAAAAAACCTTTTTACCAAGAAAAAATGTTAAAAAACAACCTTTGATGTTACGATGGGCCGCACATAATCGAAGCAAGACATGAAGCTCCAAAGACCGTGAGTAAGCACTCCAGTGATACTAAGGGGGCCTATAATGCATATTGAGAGATAGGATAAGCAAAATAGTATAGTATAACTAGCTGAATTATAATCCATTTTTTTGTTTATTGGCTATTTGGTGAGTTGCATACTGTATAATGTTTGGGAATATATTTTTCACTAGCTTATTACCCGTGACATGCGTGGAGAAAAAATGAAGTCAGTTTGTTTGTCTAGTAAAAATTAACGTAAATTTTAAATAAATTTTATAAATAAAATTTTATAGGATACAATTATTAAAGAAATAATTAAAAGATAAAATATATAAGGGATTTGCAACTTAATATTGAATGATGTCTATAATATACTCTAAGAACATTAGTGACTACAAAAATCTGCAATAATAAATCCTTGGAAGAAATTTCAGGGGTATCTGTCTTTTTTTCTCAATCATTCCCTGCTTTGCAAAAGATGAAAGATCAGCCTTTGAAAGAAAGTTTAGGAAAAAAAAGAATATTAGAAGGTTTTAGAAAATAATCAGGATTAAGAGACTAACATGTAGTTTATAAAAAAATAAAATAAACTTCATGATACATATAAATTAAAAGAAATCGATTAAAGTGTAGACACATTAATAATAAATTTTTTTAATGACAAATATAGTTTTACGATGCAGAACATGTCTCCATTTTTTTAGTTGAAGATGGTTTTATCATAAATGTATTTTATTAAACATTTTTTTCGTAATCAAACAAAAGAAAAAATATTTCCAAATTTAAATAATAAGCGAATTATTATATATTAATTATTGCATAAGATTAACTTCAGAAGACGAAAAAGAAAAACAAACACAAAAAATTTAGATTATATTAAATATCATAACGTCAAATAATTAAAGTTTAACCTCATATTAAAATTAGACAATCATCCACAATTGTTCAAACAAACATAAAAAATATTAAGACATTGTGTATTTCCTAACTGTCTAATAATTCTCAAATATATAGTTCAACAACACCCAGAACAATTTTGATGTTACACAACTTCTTCCCCAGCAGCTCTGTCCACACAACTTCCCTTTCTCCAGCAAGGTGTCTTTGACTTCAGCAATAAAATTAATTAAAAAAACAAATTATTGGGGTCACTATACTGTATTAATGATATAAAATATAGCAATAATATGTAGTAGAAAATTATAAACACACAAATAATAGGTAAGTACATAACTCTTTCTCTATTTTAATCTTTCTTTTTAGGATGTTTAACTGAACAATTAAAATCTTAATATCCAAAAAGAAAGAATTAAAATCTTCTTTCTTGATGGCATCAAATTTTATAATCAATGGTGACCAGTGGTAGACCCATAAAATTTTATTTATATCTGCACATTCAGTGGTGGGGGTTTTGGGGCAACATCTCGAAAAAAAATTTTAAAGAAATTTTTAAATGCATTAAAAAAATAAAAGAATATATACAAGAAGAGAAAAGAAAACTATTCACATATATCAAGCTTTGCTATTTCACGCATATCTCATTTTTTGTAAATGTTATTTCAAGCTATTATCATAACAAATCCTGGGGTAGTAGAGATGGCTCACCAACTATTCACATATATCAAGTTTTGCTATTTCAAATGATTTTTTTTGTGTCTGCACTTGCAGACATTGACTCCTATGTAGGTTTGTCGGATGGTGATAACAAAGTGAGGGAAACATCAATAACATCAACACAATTGTATGTTTGACTCTCATCATCCTGGCAAGGCATTAAAATTGTATAAAATTATGAAATGTTATACAAATAACGCATAAAACATTTAATTGATAAATTCTAATTTTAATTTAAAGATATCGCAGCTCTTTCCGGATCTGCTTATACAACATTAGTGTCGCAAGCATTATTGAATGCTGCTTGATCTTGAAAATTAAAAATATTTGTAAAACTAATACAAAGTACTAATATAATCAAATAATGTTTGAAAATGAAAACAACATATATTCGGGTCAACAACAGACTTAAGGTATGATGCGATAATAGTTTCACTGCAACAAACTTTAGAAACTTGATATTTTGACTTCGTGTATGATTCCAAATTCTTCTTTTTCACATTTACTTCAAATAACATGGATATTAAGAACGTTAAGCTCTTCTAGATAATGATCCAAATCACCACCCTACATCAAAATGTTATACAAAGTTAATTTGATTAATTAATTTTTCTTAAATGAATCTCAGTGAACAGAAAAAGCAGAGGAATTAGAATCAGTCCATTTTGAAATGTTGCTTGCGTAGATCAACAACACTTATTCCCAACAAAGTAACACAATCTATATCAAACAGAAGAAAAGATGCATAATTTGTGTTAACACAACCCTTACTTGAATACTGAATCTGCCAGACATTAACCCTGGCTATTTAGTTACGCATCACAAAGGAATAAGTGAAATGCACAGTACTTTGTCAATGAAATATTAAGATTCAAAACACATTGAGAACAATAACTCACTTTGGGTGATAATCATCCTAATGTTTCTGGTAGTCCTTACTATACTATTTTTCAAAATCAGAACAAACAGAATATAGACATTTCTTATTGGACTTGTAGCACCAGTTGTATTTTGATTCAATCGACTTTATGGTTCCAAAAATAATGCAAGTTGTAACTTGATATATGAATAATAAAAACATAAGAACATAAACAAACACAATCCAATCAAGATATGTGAAAGCATTCATCATTTGTGAAAATATACCTCTCTACAATTCTTAATATCACTGATACACTTCTTTTTAGTATATTGCATAAACTCATTTTCAAAAGAATATGATGATTGAGTGGACAACTAAGTAAACCTTAAACTACTTTCTATCGAATTAGATGAAAGCCTAAAACGTAATCATATAACATATAATAGAATCAGGGCATATACGAAAATGAATTCTTTTGGAAAGACACATCCAACTATATTAAATTACATGTTCTTAAAAGTATATACGTCACCTTTTTTTGAAGTCCATAATCTCTGGTACATTGGAATAAAAAAGAATCCTTGTGATATTTAAATTTATTAATTCCCATTTTACTTATACATTCAAGGAAACAAATACAGTAAGACACAAAAAATAGTATAATAGAGAAATTGAACAATATATACTCAAACAAAAGCATAAAATGAAAAATAACTATTAGTAAAAATACCCTGGAAACCCCTTATCCTTGCAAGCTGAACTATGATCACATTCTGAGGAGATCATTATCTCCCAAAAAAGTTTGTATTTGATCTACATACTGCTCCTACAAAGTACACTCAAGCTAATGTCCCCTATTTCGCAGTGGTTGTAAGAAATCATGTTATATATTTAAACACATTTAACCAAAAAGAAATCTATATAAACATATGATAAACATAAATACCTTAGGTTCTCGAGCTCTAACACAACCATTTTCGTTTTTCTACCGCAGACAACATGCTCACGAACTTTCTCAATTCTTGACAGTAAATCAATGACGTCTACAGGGACAACCACCATTTTGCCACGTTATTGGCAAAAATTTATCGAAATGCCATGCTCCTTAAAAAATTTGCCAAAATGCCACGTCACCAAAAATGCTACAACACTTGGCGTTTTACATTTGGACATGTGGCAGCGAGTTTGATGCCATGTAAACTCGCTGAATAGTCTAGCATTTTTGAACCAGTCAACTTGTCAGGCCTAAGTCACTTTACTGTACAGCACGTTACGTGACATTTTGACACGTGGAGGGAGAGGACTGAAGTCGCTGGATAGTGAGAGACTATAGTGCAACGTGGCATATATATATGGAGTGTCCATGGGAAAATGATAAAGACGATTTAATGTCCAATAAATGCTGATTTGTTTTTTGTTTTGGAAAATATAATAATCAATAAAGACGATTGTTTTTCCAAGTAGTGTACGCAAGCATGTAAAACATTTAACAGTTGCATGTTCAAACCTACCGTTATGAGCCCAATGAATTAATCAATAAATGCTTATTTGTTTTTTGTTTTCAATTTTTGTAGAATTGATTAATTCATTGGGCTGAGAACGGTAGATTTAAATCATGCAACTGTTAAATATTTTCCATGCTTGCGTACGCTACTTGGAAAAGCAAATCGTCTTTATTGTTTATTATATTTTTCAAAAAGAAAACAAAAAAGAAAATTATCATTTATTGGACATTAAATCGTCTTTATCGTTTTCCCATGGACACTCCATATGCATATGCCACGTTGCACTATAGTCTCTGTACTATCCATCGACTTCAGTCCTCTCTTTCCACATGTCAAAATGTCATGTAATGCGCTGTACAGCAAAGCGACTTAGGCCTGACACGATGACTGGTTGAAAAATGTTGGACTGTTCAGCGAGTTTATGTGGCCTTAAACTCATTGCCACATCTCCAAATGTAAAACATCATGTGTTGTAGCATTTTTGGTGATGTGGCATTTTGGCAAATATTTTAGGGAGCGTGTCATTCCGGTAAATTTTTGCCAATAACGTGGCAAAATGGTCGTTGTCCCATGTCTACAAAACAAAGAAGTTGGAAATATGATAATCTTAAAAACAAAACAAATAAATGAGTTATATTAGAGACAAAACATACTACCAACTAAATAAGGACAATTAGGTGCTTCTTTCTCAATAATGTCAAAATCAACAAAATCGAATACATTGGCAAAAAGTAGCATCAATGATCGATTTAACATCCATCCTCAAGTTGAAAGACAGACGATAATCATGCCTAGTTGGCCTGAAATTGTCACGATTTAAACCAACTCCAAATTTCTAATAAAATTAATATCTCATTCAAGAATTTTATTCCGAACTTGTAAAGAACCTTTCACAGTAGCATGAATCCTTCCACCCCACAAAACGCACACATTAATAATATAATGAAAACCAAATTATATCATTTCACAATAGTTATGCCAAATAGAAACTAAAAGTATTACCTGTTCATCTAATAGAACCACCATCTTCACATTGTCATCAAAATCTTTCCATACAAATTAGGAACCTTCCAAGTCCTAACCACCCTAACCTTAACCTTCCACTCCTTTTGGTAGGATTAAGATACTTTATAAAATTATATTTGGAATACATAATGCAGAAGAACAACTTGAGAAGAAGAAGAAACCAGACAGAGAACAGAAGAAATGTGTGCACATAATCCAATTGCCAAACAAAAAGATGCGTAACACATCATAAAACTTCTTAAAGAATGGAGTAATTTTCGACTAGGGTTTTGGATGAAGCAAAATAAGAAAAATGTCTCATTTGAATAAGAAAAAAGGAAAACTAAATATGATGGCTAATCAACCCCTTGGTTAGTGCCCCATCACTTTCCAATCATGTTGGGTAATTTCTTTCTTTCTTATCCAATTGATTGGTTTCCCTAATTTTTAGCCAATCAATCTAATTAATTGATTTCTTTAATTTGAGTCAATCAATCTAATTAATTGGTTTCCTTAATTTTTTCAATTGTCATCAAATCTAATTTAATGACTATTTAAATTTAAATTTCAAATTCAAATTAATTTTATTAATTTAACATTTAAATTAATTAAGTTGCACTATTGATCAAGTCCCACTTGGCCCATGACACATATAATCTTAATTTTTTTTTAAAAAACTTGTTTAAGATGGAAAGATTATGCTTTTCAAAAGAATCCAAATCATTGTATGAATTACACGTGGCAAAACTTTTCACATAATGACTTTGAATTATAATATAGTATAGGTATTGGTTTAATGTTTATGCGAAATTGATTTTTCTACCTAACTCACATGAAAATGAATGAATCTCATTATAAAGAGAAGATAGAGAAAATATTTGTGGTATCCATTTATTTTTAGGTGAATGTGGCAGAAAAATTTTCTCTGCAACAAAAACAAAAATATTTTTTCCATCCATATTACATGAGAAATAAGTGAGTGGGATTTTTTTTTCTCTCTTCTTTTTAGTAGATTCTACTCAATTTTTTTTACGTGTGTAAGATAAAAGTATCTTATAAATTTTTGTCTTATGTGACATGGAAAAATATATTGCCCTTTTATGGGGCGTTTGGTACGCGTCATTTTGTAGGATTTTCGAAAAATTGAAATTTTTCTAAATTTTTAATTTTTGAATATTATTGTAAACTGAATATAAAAATCATATTTTTTAAATTATTTTAATATTTCTCATTCAATTAATTTCACACTTTGAGCATGCCTATGTGAATCAAGGTCACCATATCGTTCCTACGAGGACATGACACGGTCGATCTGATGCCGTTCATCAGGTTTTGGTTTTTTCTGGAATCATTTTCCATTTATCATAAATTCATTTTGGTGTTATTTAATGTTTTACGCGATGATATATTCTATATATTTTTTTTATGTTTCAGTATGCACCAGTGCTTTTTATTATTTTGGGCTTAGTTTTTTCTCATACCATCAATTATAAATATGTTAGTATGTTGTCAGTAAAGTTTCACATGGGCTAGAAGCTTAGAATGATATAAATGTAAGAATCATAAACATAAAAGTTTGGTAAATGAGATGTGATAGGATTATCTTCTGTGATATAATTGCATAATCAGGGAAGCATATACCTACTAATTGTCAAAAATTGGCAATGCATTTTAAATGTACATAAATATGGGAGCCTATACATACATCTCAATTCCACCGGTGATGTGTGAACATCAAACAATTAGGGGAAGAAAATTTAGGATAGAGATTTCTGGCATATATTAACAAGTTTGGGGTATAATCAAAATTCCTATAACTTGGTACTAGCAATACCAATCTTCTTCAATTCTTGAAATGCTTTTATGGCCTCTGTATCAAAACCACCTGCAAACTGAATGTCTTGGTGGTTGATGAGATGAACAAAGGGAATTGTTATCTTTGTGAAATATGAGAATCTAGTGTAATCTAACCTGGTGTACTCTGAATGCAAACTTAACTCCTTGTACCAGGAGGTTATCTTCCTGCAAGGCTTCATTAGATTCCAATTCCTTGGTTACCCGTTTCATGAATTCCTTCGCTAGCCTCAATGAACTTAGTTTCATCTGCAATCATTAACGAAATAAAGTGTCTGAATCAACTACCATAATTAATTAATGATCAGCTACCACAATTATGAGGAGTCTATGGCCTAAAAGGGAAAATCCCAGCGCATAAGACTCTCCGATTTGTAAGGGTAAGAGTAAAGGTCGATTGTACGCAATCTTATCCTTATATTTTTGCAAAGAAATTGTTTCCCAAACTCGAATTGTGACCTTCTCATCACAAGGCTCCAAGGCTCGCTCTCATAACTTATTGACCTAATGCATCTAAATTGGCCATGCTAAGTTTATGAAAGAAATTTTCAATTTAGTGTCTTGTTATTTTCTCTGTAGAGACTAGAGGAAGAAAAGGGTAACCAAATGCACAAGGCTCTATGGAAATTGCACAAATATAAGCCATCTACTACCTACCTGACCAATGAGGCCTGTGTCCTGCATCCAAGCCCAAGGGATATGGAAATTCCTATAACGCTTACTTGAACTTTCCCTTGTCCTCTCTGCAGTGTTTACACTTCTCTCCAACCTGCATATTTGAAAGTGGATCTTGGAAGTACTTAAAAGCATTGCACAAAAACACTAAGCTACTGAATATTCTAGCTTGGTACATGCTCGCCTGTCTTGAAGTGCTTGCACCCTTTTCAAAGTCTGAGCCAATGGCTCTTTTGGATTGTCCTCAAATGATGATACTTCTGATTCAAGGTTCTTCAGATCTCGGTAGTTACAAGAAGCTTCCCTAAGTGCATCTACTTTTTGTTCTGGCCAATTTGGAAAATGCTTTAGTACTGGACGTTCATCCACCAATGAAGATAGCTCCCCATCAAGCCATTTCACAAATGCCTCCACCTCAGAAATATCTGAATATGAGGAAGACTCTACCTCTTTTATCAAGAATCTGATAAACTCCCCTTGTCTTTGAACATCTGATTTTATCTGCACATGAATGTTCATGGTATCAATGGCACAATTGTTTCATAAGTAAAGATTTATCAAAACTTGAAATAAAACTGAGAAGCTAGCAACTGTACTTACAGCAGAAAGAAAAGTTGAGCGATTTTCAATTTCCTCAATCATGTTTCTGGTAAATGCAACTGCAGGAGTTCCATTGGTGTTTATTTTGTTATTCATGTTTGCATCATTTCTTGTCAAGGAACGATAGAATTCTATTACTTCTGGCACTCGACGCACTGCTTTCATCCCAACTAGTGATTTTGGTGGTATTGGAGGTGGTGGTGGTGCTGTTGTTGGCTGCACTTTCATTCCTTTCTCATTTTTTTGTGGAGGAAGAAAAGGGTTGCAAGCAGGCCTTGGTGGAGGTGTTGGTATTCTTGTTGATCTTTCCTTTTTAGGTGCTGCTGGTTCTTGGAAATCTGAATTTGTATGCACATTCTCGTTTGTTGGACTCTTTTCAGACTTGATTACTTGAACTGCTGCTTTATGCTGAAGTGCATCTGTGTTGTTGCCATCCATGGATTTCTGTATCTTCTTCCAGAATATAGATTTTCTCTCTATGTTTTGTGCTTTAAGTGAAAATATCTGTGATTTTAAACGAGTTACTTCTTGTCTGAGATCCTTGTTTTCTTTCTCTAGCAACTCATTCCTTGCCATTTGGACTTCAAGATTTTTCTTTAGGGAGGTGATCTTCTCATACTCATTCTCCAGTGACATTTTCTCTCTTTCTGCCCTCTTCAGAAGGATGGCTATAATTTGGTTATAAAATTAATATGTTTTCCTTTTATATTTGTTCTTGCTTTTGAAGTAAGGTTGGTGTGTTTAGGACTAGGGGCTAAATATGAAAGGATGCCACAGAAGAAGGTTGCATTGGCCTTATGGACATGCTGAGTACAGTGGTCTTGATAAGGATGCTTTGGACATTTCACAACTTCAATGCTCAATACTATAAAGAATCATTATGATGACTTAGTAGCAAATATTATCGTAGATGAGAGATTACTTGGGCTTGCTGGCAATCGCTATTATCTGATAGATGCCTTTTTAATGTGAAGTTAGGTACAACATTAAATTATTTTGGTCAAATTTGTAATTAATATTTTTTGTTTGTTTGTTTGGTTATTTAAGCTGTTACAGTGTCATATGTTTGAGGGTTAGTGTTACATAACTACATATATCTACATTAGTGAGTGCAAGCTTGTCATGTTTCTTGTTTGAATCATGTCTTACCTTTTAAAATGAAATTTGAGTTGGAGTTTCATATTTATAATTGTACACGTGCTGTGAATGGTGATTGGTGACTACTGAACTGATTACAAAGTCCTAACATCCCTATATGGAACTCAATTGGCAATAACTCTTGTCCAAGTGTAATATTTGGAATGAGAGTATTTCAATATTGGGTCAATCTCTCTTCATTGTGATGGTTGCCTTTCATCTTTTTATGAATCAGTGCCCTTCTAGTAATATGAATGGCATTTGGTATTTCTTTGTTTATCAAGCAATGAGAAAGGACAAAGGAGGGTAGGAAAAACAGAACACTATATAATGAGGTTCCGTGAAGTGAAAAAGTTTGAACATAAAAAGTAAAGTTGTTGATTACTACATCATACCAAATAAGATCCCTTTGATATTTACTTTTTTAAAATTTATTATGTTGTTCAATGTCCCTTTTGAATTCCTTTACCTCCATTTCTTCCTTCCTACTCCTACCATAGACTTCAACCGCCCTACTTTCCTTCTCCACTCTTTGACACCAAAAGAGTGTGAAGTGATTAAGATTGTTTTTCTGTGACAGTTGAGGCTGAGCTTCTCTAATCATTTGTGTGAAGAATAAGAAAGCAGTGAGACAGAAAAAGTTCTCAAAGTCCTTCACAGAAAAAGTTCTCAAAGTCCTTCAAATGTTTGTTCAAAACTACAAATAAAAAGTTATACCATTACATAGTCTTGATGAATTTCTATATAATAATTATTTAAATAATTTTAATTAATAAAATAATATTATGCTAATTTTTTTTTTAATTTTTGATAAATATTGAAGGCATGATAAATTAATAGGTTTAGATTACTCGAGGCCAATATATTATGACATAATTAAAATATTTTACAAAGATGTAATATATTTAGATTAAAATCTAATTAGGTCCATTCCATTTACATACAAAAATTTTGAGGGTAACACTTATTATAACTACTTGCCCAGCCACAAATTCAATTGGTAGAAACAATGGTAAGTTTCTCTCTTTTTTCCTACCTTGAAGTGGTAGGTAGCTAGTCCTTACTTTCTTTTTCTTTTTCCTTTCTCTTGTACCGAGGAAGAAAGAAAGTGTAGAGCAATGACACTGTAAATGAAATGTATTATCATAAAAGAAATAATAAATTTTGTCATACAGTTTCCTTTAATATGATGAGGGTAGCAGTCTGCACCTTAGGGGAATTTATTTTAGTTTTTAATGAAGTTTCTTCAACAGACAGCTACAAACATTTATTGTGCAGTTGGAGCAGTGAAATTGGTAGAATATATACATCGATTGCTTGTTTAACTCATCGAGGATTAAGATCTCAAACGGTTTGCTTCATTGATGAAAATGAACATGAATAGTTAAGTCCATTACCCATGTTTATCAGTTATCATCCAATGATCTATCATTCTGAAAACACATTTTGGGTCCATACCGAACAAAAAGTTCAATGCATATCTAGTTCATTTTTATTAGAACATGTAGGCAAATTCTGTGCAAATTTTTAGGATCCCAGGATCCGCTTACGTATCCTAATAAAAATGAACTAGGGATGCACTGAACTCAGTGTATATGTAGCATTGTAGATTTTTCCGATCCATACCATAATGACTAGTCTAACTTCAACCAATATATGTAACAAAAATAAAAAAATCTGTGACATTAGTTACTGAACAATGCATGTGGTAAAAAATAAAAGTATCAAACATCATTAGCTACTGTGTAAAAGAAAAGAGAAAGGTTAATGACAAACAGCCTCTTTGGTCAAATTTCAACAACCAAACTAATACAAGAAAATTACAACCAAGAATTGTCATGATTGGCACAAAATGGACGTGTAGTGACTGCACCACTTGTATGATGGTAGAATATGCATATTTTTATGAGCAAATTTGTCAGCGTATTCTATTTTCTTGTATGAAATACATATTTTGAATTACATCATTAGATACAGAACTACGGCCACCTAGAGATCAATGATGAAAAATCTACCCCTGATTGAACTTGATCATTGGTTTGCAGAAGTTATTGTTGGTGTCACTTTTTTAAACCAACATTTCCAACCTCTGACTATTCTCTTCGGAGCAAATTTCTCTACAAAAATTTGACATAGTAAATCATACCAACCTCTAGCAAAGAAGTATGAGGTACATTCAGAGCAACATCAGGCTCTCTGCAATTCTTGCTTTGAAAAGTAAAAACAAAATCTATAGCAAACTTTTTTATCATGGAAGATTAGTTCTTTGCCTTTGCATGGGAATGGCCGATTATATGGGTAACACCAAACTCATTAGCTTTCTAAATCTGCAGAGACTCATCTTTGTAGAGAGCCTTTTCAAGATGGTCATTCATCATTACCTGCAAAACACACGAAGAGGGGAACAAGTTCTCTTCATAATATGACTTATTAAACGTGTTCAGTGAAACACCAAGATCTTCCACATTTGAGTTTCCATCATTTGCAGACAATTCATTTGTTGTCTCTGGAATATTCTCCTCTTCTGTTTCTACAAATTGTATTATAGCAGATATCAATCTACTCTCAAAATTATAGTTCTCCTGTTGCATGTCTTTGTAACCATACCTGACAATGCAACGAAACATGCCATACTCCTTCGTGCTAACCCTACTGATGACCAACCGTTCATTTTCACTGACATAAGGGACATGAACAGATTTTACACAGACAAAAACTAGCACCTGATGGAATGCTGGCACGTTTGTTACAAAATGACCAAACATAGCAGGGAAACCAGAAGCCAGATTGGTGTACATTAGTCCTATTCCAGGGACACGAACCATACCAAGGCAAGGTCCCATAGATAGTATCATGTTCATTGAAACCTTGTTTTCCACATCAAATTGAGGTTTCTTCATTGTTCCATAGTTCCACGTATACATTACAATCATAAAGATTAAGCACAGCACTAATCTCACTCTCCTTCAGGAACCTTGCAGATACAAGCTGAGATGTAATGCAGTTCAATTGATCCAAACAATAGCAAACATGCAATGGCTTTTATTATTCCTTGCTTCCAGACAATCAAATTACTAGTGTCATCAAACAAGTTGTCACAAACATAATGGTGGTAACCGCAAGCCCTACAAACCCAGCAAAATAGTTAAATTTACTTGTCAATGCTTCAAACATCATAATCATAGTGGAAAAGAAGCTTACCATATGCATGACCCATCATGTTTGTACCCTTAAGGCCAATTGTCAGGGCTAAACAAAGGCACATTAATATCCAATTGACTTCTGGGATGTATATCTGCCCATAGGGGTGTTAACAAGCCGCCCTGAGCCAAGCTGAGCTTTGGTCTTAACGGGCCGAGCCTGTGTTCAAATGTGTTAGACTGGCCTTAGCCCGTTACCTGTTACGAATATAATATCAGCCTGTGGCCTGACTCATTTACAAAAAATAAAAACCTAGTTTAACCTGTTAGCCTATTTTAAAATAATAAGACAACAAAAATTTACCCAAACAAAATCTACAAATCAACAGCACTAGTAATTCAATAAATATTCATAAATTTAATGTATATCCAAATAGTATAATATAAAATAAAATCATTCAAAGAGTCTGTTTAATTAATAAAATGAGATGAAATGAATTGAGAAGAGAGAGTGCTATCACTAGTAGTATAAAAAATATAAAAAAAATATATATTAGACAAGCCTGAGAGGCTCTAAGGCCGAGCTTTTGAATTGGAGCCTGAGGCCTTTTTATTAAACGAACTTTTATACAAGTCCAAGCCTGGGTTCAACAATCAATTTTAAACATGTAAGCTCAGGCCTTCACGAGCCGAGCCAAAGGCCCCTGTAAGGCCCCTGGCTCGTTTAGCACCCCTATGACTCCCATATATTCTGCTTGAAGTGTGAATAGTCTTCACCCAAGGAAAACAATTTAATGTACAGCACTGGCTTATGATGGAAAAGGGAGCAGAAATTACTGCTTGACGGCTTATAATGGCTGCAAAAGTGGCCACTATGAACACCGGCCAAAACACAGCTTCTGAAAAAAAAAAATAGTGACAGTTACATCATATTGGCCCAAAATAATATTTGATAGTTTGGGGTTACTCATATAAATTCTTGCCTGGTATGGCTTTGTAGAAACTTCTCTGAATGTCCTCACGGTGCTTTTAGAGAGGAATGCAGCCTCACCCATATATGCCAGAATGAGGCAGGGATACACTAGACATGTGAAAGCTATCTGAGATTAAAGTACTCTTGTTAAAGCATGAATCATGTTGGTATGGTAGATCAACATGCTGGCATCAACTAAGTTAAACAACACTGGTAATTTACCTTTATTGAGAGAGCAGAAAAATGACCTTAGTTAGCAAACATGGTCTCCACACCTATGAGGATATTACAGAGAAAAATTACTCCCAGAACTCCAATTGGTTGCTTTTAAAATAACCTAACCATATATAGGTACCTGTAATTGAAAGCACCACTCCACCTAATGACAGCCATTCTTCAATGCCAGTTGTTTTGATGAACTTCAACGTGTAGACAGGAGAAAGTGCACGATATATTTTTGGGTTCCAGTGGAATATGTTGTATATACCAATGCCACTGATACACAAAAGCCATGTTGCAACAACTGGAGCAAACAAGAAAGCAACTCTATGTGTGCGATGATGCTGAATGGAGAATAGTCCCACTACAATGACACGAGATTATGATAACATAATCTACAAGAAAAATCACCTGAAGTTTTAATGGGTTGTGAATGGATAATATATGGTAGATGGTAATGAAAGAAGCTTGCTGGGCTTACTAACATGGAGTTCACTGATTTTAACTTCAACACCTGAAACTGTCGAAAGAACTGAAAGGAAAATAGACACAAAGGAGAAAAAACGCACACATAAATCCACAAATATCAACTCCAAAACTAATTCATAATCTCATAACAAGTAGACTAAATAAAGAACAAAGTATTGATCCAAGAATTTGGCAATATGACATGAATTGAATTGATAAATAAAAAACATTTGATTCACAACACCTAGTGTAACTGTGATTTCCTTTTATTATGAAAATATTCAGTGGCAATTTCCTTAAGTAATGATGTAAAATTCAGGGAGAGATTCCTTCATATATCTATATTACAGAGTCAGTCAATAAGGGATAACATACTTCATGTGGTTTCAGACTATGCTAACTACTGAGTTCCTTTTTATTTTCACAAGCAATGCTCAAATAACAGAAGTTTAGGTGATAGCTTACAGGAGCGAAGAAGTAAACATCATTATACAAGCTCAGGGGCTGCTCCAGATCAACTACCTGATATTGCAGGAGTGATCACACCATCACCAATTGCCATACTGTTGTAAATATTTGTTATTTTATTATTAGTATTTGTTGTATTGGGCCAAGCCCATTAGCTCAAGTATTAGGGTTTTCATTCTCTATAAATAGAGACCTCTTTGTACAGATTATTTACACAATTCAATAATATTTCAAATACCATTTTTCTTTCAAGTTGGTATCAGAGCTCTCGATCCTGAGGGCTCTGCTTCCGCGCCTACGAAACCTTTTTATTCTTTTTTACGTCTCTCGCTGCCATCAGCCGCCACCGGAATTTTTTTTCCGGGGACCTCTTGAACCGAGAAGACCATTGCTTCACTGTTCCTCTTTCTTTTTCTTGTCTATTACACGACAAGAAACAAACGTTCACAGAATCAACGTAGAGAACTTAGAACCACCGTACAGAACCTGTTCATCGCGATTGGACCCTTTTTCCGGTGGATTCTTCACTCCGAACAGCCACAGAAACCATCGCGCTCGCCGGACGACCTTTGCCTGAAAAACCCAGCACCATCGGAGGTCAGAAGCGCCTCCACGCACCGCCCTTGTCTCTGCGCGTGAATCCCACGCGCCTCCAGCTTCACCGGCGCGTGACGGTGGTTCTCGGCCGCGGACCACCACGGTTCTGATCGTCTCTCCAAGCCGGCTCTGGATCTGTGCTCTCCACTTTGATCGGACATCGTTTGGTATTTTTTCCGAATTTCTTGGCTTCTTGGAGTTTGTTCTTTCACCAATTTCTTGCCTCCGACCAGATCTGACGTTGTTTGGTATTTGTTCCGGCCACTGTGTTACTGTTTCGGCCGCTGTGTTACTGTTCCGGTCAGATCTGACGTTGTTTAGTATTTGTTTGTGATTTTTTGGCTTCTTGCTGCTATTCTTTGACAAGTTTTGTGCAGTATGGCCTCTTCTCAAAGGAGTTCCTTTACAAAGTTTTCTGATGGTGCAACCTCTGAACCTAAGAGAGATGATCGATGGTGTTCTTATTGTAAAAGAACAGGTCATATCAAGGATCTATGCTTTCGCCTCCATGGAAAGCAAACTGTCTTAGAAAAGAT